GCTCGTTTCTCAAAAAGTAGAGGGAATCTAGCGGTCTCACTCGATCAGAAGGTGGGAAATATATAAATCTAGTGAGCTAATAAGGTTCGAAAGTAATCTAATGCATATGTATATGGAAAATGGTGCATTGGCCAGGTCGGTCAGTGTGGGAACTTAGAGTGCAAATGCCTGTGAGAACGCAACCGCTCAGATCTCGCATAGTACACGGAATCTAGTGGTCTCACTCAAATATAAGGTAGGAAATGTATTAATCAAGTGAACGTAAGGGTTTGAAAGGTAACTAACGCACATGTGTAGAGAAAATGGTGCATCAGCCAGTTTGGCCGGCATTTCGCACTTATAGTGCAAGTGGGGCCAGGGAGAACGGAAACGCTCGTTTCTCAAAAAGTAGAGGGAATCTAGCGGTCTCACTCGATCAGAAGGTGGGAAATATATAAATCTAGTGAGCTAATAAGGTTCAAAAGGAATCTATTGCATATGTATATGGAAAATGGTGCATTGGCCAGGTCGGTCAGTATGGGAACTTAGAGTGCAAATGCCTAGGAGAACGGAACTGCTCAGATCTCGCATAGTACACGGAATCTAGTGGTCTCACTCAAATATAAGGTAGGAAATATATTAATCGAGTGAACATAATGGTTTGAAAGGAAACTAACGCACAAGTGTAGAGAAAATGGTGCATCGGCCAGTCTGGCCGGCATTTCGCACTTATAGTGCAAGTGGGGCCAGGGAGAACGGAAACGCTCGTTTCTCAAAAAGTAGAGGGAATCTAGCGGTCTCACTCGATCAGAAGGTGGGAAATATATAAATCTAGTGAGCTAATAAGGTTTGAAAGGAATCTAATGCATATGTATTTGGAAAACGGTGCATTGGCCAGGTCGGTCAGTATGGGAACTTAGAGTGCAAATGCCCGGGAGAACGGATCCGCTCAGATCTCGCATAGTACCGGAATCTAGTGGTCTCACTCAAATATAAGGTAGGAAATATATTGATCGAGTGAACGTAAGGGTTTGAAAGGTAACTAACGCACATGTGTAGAGAAAATGGTGCATCGGCCAGTCTGGCCGGCATTTCGCACTTTTAGTGCAAGTGGGGCCAGGGAGAACGGAAACGCTCGTTTCTCGAAAAGTAGAGGGAATCTAGCGGTCTCACTCAATGAGAAGGTGGGAAATATATAAATCTAGTGAGCTAATAAGGTTTGAAAGGTATCTATCGCACATATATAGAGAAAATGGTGCATTGGCCAGGTCGGTCAGTATCGGAACTTCAAAATGCAAATGCCAGGGAGAACGGAAGCGCGCAGATCTTGCATAGTACACGGAATCTAGTAGTCTCACTCAAATAAAAGGTAGGAAATATATTAATCGAGTGAACGTAAGGGTTTGAAAGGTAACTAACGCACATGTGTAGAGAAAATGGTGCATCGGCCAGTCTGGCCAGCATTTCGCACTTATAGTGCAAGTGGGGCCAAGGAGAACGGAAACGCTCGTTTCTCAGAAAGTAGAGGGAATCTAGCGGTCTCACTCGATCAGAAGGTGGGAAATACATAAATCTAGTGAGCTTATAAGGTTCGAAAGGAATCTAATGCATATGTATATAGAAAATGGTGCATTGGCCAGGTCGGTCAGTATGGGAACTTAAAATGCAAATGCCTGGGCGAACGGAACCGCTCAGATTTCGCATAGTACACGGAATCTAGTGGTCTCACTCAAATATAAGGTAGGAAATATATTAATCGAGTGAACGTAAGGGTTTGAAAGGCAACTAACGCACATGTGTAGAGAAAATGGTGCATCGACCAGTCTGGCCGGCATTTCGCACTTATAGTGCAAGTGGGGCCAGGGAGAACGGAAACGCTCGTTTCTCAGAAAGTAGAGGGAATCTAGCGGTCTCACTCGATCAGAAGGTGGGAAATATATAAATCTAGTGAGCTAATAAGGTTCGAAAGGAATCTAATGCATATGTATATGGAAAATGGTGCATTGGCCAGGTCGGTCAGTATGGGAACTTAGAGTGCAAATGCCTGGGAGAACAGAACCGCTCAGATCTCGCATAGTACACAGAATCTAGTGGTCTCACTCAAATATAAGGTAGGAAATATATTAATCGAGTGAGCATAAGGGTTCGAAAGGTAACTAACGCACATGTGTAGAGAAAATGGTGCATCAGCCAGTCTTGCTGGCATTTCGCATTTATATATTAGGGTTTCCTACCTTAGGGCCAGACTGGCCGATGCACCATTTTCTCTACACATGTGCGTTAATTACCTTTCAAACCCTTACGTTCACTCGATTAATATATTTTGCACTTGCTAGGCCCTTGTTCTTACAATTTTGCACACGCTAGGCCATTGTTCTTGCAATTTTGCACACGCTAGGCCCTTGTTCTTGCAATTTTGCACACGCTAGGCCCTTTTTCTTGCAATTTTGCACATGCCAGGCCCTTGTTTTTCAAATTTTGCACACGCTAGGACCTTGTTCTTGCAATTTTGCACACGCTAGGCCCCTGTTCTTCCAATTTTGCACTTGCTAGGCCCTTGTTCTTGCAATTTCGCACACGCTAGGCCCTTGTTCTTGCTATTTTGCACACGCTAGGCCCTTGTTCTTGCTATTTTGCACACGCTAGGCCCTTGTTCTTGAAATTTTGCACATGCTAGGCCCGTGTTCTTGCTATTTTACACACGCTAGGCCCTTGTTCTTCCAATTTTGCACAGGCTAGGCCCTTGTTCTTGAAATTGCGCACTCCTTAGGCCCTTGTTCTTGAATTTTGGCACACGCAATGCTCTTGTTCTTGCAATTTTGCACTCGTTAGGCCCTTGTTCTTGCTATTTTGCACACGCTAGGCCCTTGTTCTTGCAATTTTGCACTCGTTAGGCCCATGTTCCTAATATTTTGCACACGCTAGGCCCTTGTTGTTGCTATTTTGCCCTCGCTAGGCCCTTATTCTTGCTATTTTGCACACGCTAGGCCCTTGTTCTTGAATGTTTGCACATGCTAGGCCCTTGTTTTTGCAATTTTGCACTCGCTAGGCCCTTGTTCTTGCAATTTTGCACACGCTAGGCCCTTGTTCTTGCTATTTTGCACTCACTAGGCCCTTATTCTTGCTATTTTGCACACGCTAGGCCCTTGTTCTTGAATGTTTGCACATGCTAGGCCCTTGTTTTTGCAATTTTGCACTCGCTAGGCCCTTGTTCTTGCAATTTTGCACACGCTAGGCCCTTGTTCTTGCTATTTTGCACTCACTAGGCCCTTATTCTTGCTATTTTGCACACGCTAGGCCCTTGTTCTTGCAATTTTTGCACACGCTAGGCCCTTGTTCTTCCAATTTTGCCCACCTTCTGATCGAGTGAGACCGCTAGATTCCCTCTACTTTTTGAGAAATGAGCGTTTCTGTTCTCCCTGGCGCCACTTGCACTATAAGTGCGAAATGCCGGCCAGACTGGCCGATGCACCATTTTCTCTACACATGTGCGTTAGTTACCTTTCAAACCCTTACGTGCACTCGATTAATATATTTCCTACATTATATTTGAGTGAGACCACTAGATTCCGTGTACTATGCGAGATCTAAGCGGTTTCGTTCTCCCAAGCATTTGCACTCAAAGTTCCCATACTGACCGACCTGGCCAATGCACCATTTTCCATATACATATGCATTAGATTCCTTTCGAACCTTATTATCTCACTAGATTTATATATTTCCCACCTTCAGATCGAGTGAGACCGCTAGATTCCCTCTACTTTTTGAGAAACGAGCGTTTCCGTTCTCTCTGGCCCCACTTGCACTATAAGTGCGAAATGCCGGCCAGACTGGCCGATGCACCAATTTCTCTACACATGTGCGTTAGTTACCTTTCAAACCCTTACGTTCACTCGTTTAATATATTACCTACCCTATATCGGAGTGAGACCATTAGATTCCGTGTACTATGCGAGATCTGAGCGGTTCCGTTCTCCCAGGCATTTGCACTCTAAGTTCCCATACTGACCGACCTGGCCAATGCACCATTTTCCATATACATATGTATTAGATTCCTTTCGAACCTTATTAGCTCACTAGATTTATATATTTCCCACCTTTTGATCGAGTGAGACCGCTAGATTCTCTCTACTTTTTGAGAAATGAGCGTTTCCGTTCTCCCTGGCCCCACTTGCACTATAAGTGCGAAATGCCAGCTAGACTGGCCAATGCACCATTTTCTCTACACATGTGCATTAGTTACCTTTCAACCCCTTATGTTCACTAGATGAATATATTTCCTACCTTATATTTGAGTGAGACCACTAGATTCCGTGTACTATGTGAGATCTGAGCGCTTCCGTTCTCCCGGGCATTTGCACTCTAAGTTCCTATACTGACCGACCTGGCCAATGCACCATTTTCCATATACATATGCATTAGATTCCTTCCAAACCTTATTAGCTCACTAGATTTATATATTTCCCACCTTCTGATCGAGTGAGACCGCTAGATTCCCTCTACTTTTTGAGAAACGAGCGTTTCCGTTCTCTCTGGCCCCACTTGCACTATAAGTGCGAAATGCCGGCCAGACTGGCCGATGCACCATTTTCTCTACACATGTGCGTTAGTTACCTTTCAACCCCTTATGTTCACTCGATAAATATATTTCCTACCTTATATTTGAGTGAGACCACTAGATTGCGTGTACTATGCGGGATCTAAGCGCTTCCGTTCTCCCAGGCATTTGCATTTTAAGTTCCCATACTGACCGACCTGGCCAATGCACCATTTTCTCTATACATGTGCGATAGATACCTTTCAAACATTTTTAGTGTCAGATTTATATGACATATTTGCTGTAGGCTATAGTGGGGTAGCACATATGGGGTACAGGGTTTCTAGGGTTGTATTTGTACCCAATCTTTCCTTAGTCATTTCATTCCTGTTTTCCTTGCTTCACATGGTATAGAGCGGGTCCTGCCTTAGGACCGTTTTTTTTAGGGCCCACCGAAGCGCGCCCCGAGGCGCGCCCCTTATTTTTAGCGACCCCTCGGGTCGCCTTTTCCCTCGCGGCCCCGCTGTCCCTCAGACGCAGCCCCGCCACCTCTCCTGATCGCGGCCCCGCCGCCTGCTTGACGCGGCCCAGCCGCCTCCCCTGACGCGGCCCCGCCGCCTCCCCTGACGCGGCCCCGCCGCCTCCCCTGACGCGGCCCCGCCGCCTCCCCTGACGCAGCCCCGCCGCCTCCCCTGACGCGGCCCCGCCGCCTCCCCTGACGCGGCCCCGCCTCTACTGCCGCGGCCCCGCCGCCGCCTCTGACGGCCCCGCCGCTGCACCCTACGGCCCGCCGCTGCATCCTGCCGGCCCGCCGCCTCACCTGACGGCCCGCCGCTGCTCCTGCCGGCCCGCCACTGCACCTGCCGGCCCGCCGCTGCACCCAGCGGCCCGCCGCCTCTGACGGCCTCGCCGCTGCACCTGCCGGCCCGCCGCTGCACCCTACGGCCCGCCGCTGCACCCTACGGCCCGCCGCTGCACCGTACGGCCCGCCGCCTGCACCTGCCGGCCCGCCGCTACACCTGCCGGCCCGCCGCTGCACCTGCCGGCCCGCCGCTGCACCTGCCGGCCCGCCACTGCACCGGTCGACCCGCCGCTGCACCTGACGGCCCCGCCCCTGCATCTCCCGGCCGAGCCGCCCCAGCAGCCGAACCGCCCGGGAGCCGAGCCGCCCAACGCCGAGCCGCCCAGGACCCGAGCCGCCCTGCCGCCGAGCCGCCCGGGAGCCGAGCCGCCCTGCACCCGAGCCGCCCAGCCGCCGAGCCGCCCGGGAGCCGAGCCGCCCTACGCCCGAGCCGCCCAGCCGCCGAGCCGCCCGGAAACCGAGCCGCTGTGCACCCGAGCCGCCCGGTCGCTCAGCCGCCTTTCTGCATAGCTGCACGACCTGCCCTGCCTGGTGAGCACAGTCCCACTGACACTGCGAGCTCTTTTCCCTACTGCTTGCACTGCGTCGCTGTCGTTGCCATGGCTACCCCTAGTGTCCTAGCTTTTGACGCTGAGGGTCGCGCCATTGATTTTGAGGTCTGGTTAGACGACCTGCAGCTGTTCTTACAGTGCGACAGGGCTGACGACCTTTCTCTCTTTGACCTCACCTCTGGCGCCTCTCCTGCTCCTCCTGCTGATGCTGATCCCGCTGTCCGCTCTAAGTGGGCCACCCGCGATGCTGCTTCACGTCTTGCTGTGCGTCGCCACCTCCCTACCTCTGAGCGTGCGCACTTTAGTCAGTACAAGAGTGCTCAGACCTTGTACGACGCTGTAGTTGCGCGCTACTCCTCCCCTGCCACAGCTGCACTGAGCCGTCTCATGCTTCCCTACCTCTTTCCTGACCTCTCTGCCTTTCCCACTGTCGCTGATCTCATTACGCACCTCCGCGCTAGTGACACTCGCTACCGCGCCGCCCTTCCTGCTGAGTTCTGCGCTAAGAACCCCCCCCCATGTACATCGCTCTCTACTACGTAGTCGCGCGCCTCCCTGACTCCCTTCGCGTAGTCAGGGACCACTTTCTCGCAGTCTGTCCCACCACCCTCACCGTCGACCTCCTCGAGAAGGCCCTCCTCGCAGCGGAGAAGAGCATAGTCGCTGTAGGTGCTTCTCGTGGTGACCCTCGCACCCCCATCTTTGAGGGGTGCTCTCCTTCCCCCTTGCTGCCCTCTGTTGCCTCTGCTGCTGGTGACGACCTGCTTGGTCTTGAGTCGGTCGGCGCGGCGTCTGCCCCTAGTGGGAGACGTCGCTCCAGCAAGGGCAAGGGGGGCAAGGGCGCGGGTGGAGCTGGAGGGGGCGGTGGCGGTGGCGGCGGTGGCGGCGGAGGGAGTGGGGGTGGCGGCGGGACTATTGGTGGAGGTGGTGGTGGTGGTGGCAGCAGTGGCGGAGACGGTGGTGGTGGTGCCAGCGGTGGTGGTGGAGGCAGCGGCGGTGGTGGAGGTGGCGGAGGTGGAGGCGGTGGAGGCGGCAGCGGAGGAGGCGGTGGTGGTGGAGGAGGTGGAGCTGGTCGAGGTTGTTCCCAGCAGCGTAGCGGCGGTGGTGGTGGCCAGCGCTCGCAGCGGCAGCAGCAGCAGCGCTCGCGGGACATCCCTCCGCCTCAGCAGCTTCGTGAGTGGTACGCTGGGCGTCAGAGGGGTGGGGGTACTGGTCCCTGCACCTACGTTCTTCGTTCCGGCGACCGCGCGGGTGAGCAGTGTGGGGGTGCCCACGCCACCCAGCGCTGCTTTGGCCGCCTGACAGACGCCTGGCGTCAGCAGTTCCCTGGGGCTAGTGAGATCCCTCGCTGGGATGAGCTTCTCAGGGCTGGTGTAGCGATCTTTGATCTTGATTTTGATGCTATCCTTGCTGCTATGTATGTTGTGGATTTTAGTGAGGAGAATGAGGGTTACCGGTGTTTCCAGCCCGACCCGGGCATTGGTACTGCTGCGCTAGGTGCTTGTGAGGCTGCTGCTCTAGGTGCCAGTGCGTCTATGCTCTCAGGTACTGGTGAGACTGCGCTCTCAGGTACTGCGTCGTCCTCGTCCTCCCTCACTTTCACACTTGACTCCGGAGCTTCTTGCTCCTTCTTTCGAGACCGCACTACCCTTACGCCGCTCGGCCGGCCGGTTGCGGTCTCCCTCGCTGACCCCTCTGGGGGTCCTGTCCTGTCTCACTTCTCCACTGTTCTCCCGTGTCCGGCTGCCCCTTCGGGCACCCTGTCGGGTCTGTACCTTCCCTCGTTCTCTACGAACTTGGTGAGTGGAGCGGACCTGCAGGATGTGGGGGTTCACCAGTTCACTCCTGCGAGTCAGCGGGTGACCCACTGCACGGAGGCACGCACAGGCCGACACCTGGCCACGTTCTCGCGTCGGCCGGGGTCGAGTCTCTACACCCTGACCGTTGAGTCTCCTCCTGTCCCTGCGTCTGGTCAGGTGGCTGCGTCGGGTCAGGTGCTTGCTGCTGCGTCCTGGTCAGGTCCTGAGTCTGCCCCCTGTTTTTGTCGCCTCCTGTCTCACGAGACTCTCCTGTGGCACCACCGTCTTGGCCACCCCTCCTTGCCCCGTCTTCGGAGCATGGCTTCCCGTGTCCTTGTCTCTGGTCTTCCCCAGTCTCTCCCTCCTCTCCCCTCCGGGCCAGGACCTTCCTGTGTCCCCTGTGTCGAGGGTCGCCTCCGGGCTACTCCTCACTCCTCCCACTTCCCCCCGACAGAGGCTCCCCTGCAGACGCTTCACATGGATGTGTGGGGCCCAGCCCCCGTCCGTGGGCAGGGTTACGAGCGCTACTTCCTGTTGGTGGTTGACGACTACTCGCGTTACACCACAGTCCTCCCCTTGCGCAGCAAGGGTGCGGTCACTGAGGTGCTGATCGACTGGATCCGCGAGGCTCGTCTCCAGCTCAGGCAGAGCTTCGGCTCGGACTTTCCTGTTCTGCGTCTGCACTCTGACAGAGGCGGAGAGTTCTCTTCTCGCCTTCTGCGGGACTACTGTCGTGCACGGGGGATCCGCCAGACCTTCACGCTTCCGGACTCACCACAGCAAAATGGGATTGCTGAGCGCCGCATTGGTATGGTCATGGATGTCGCTCGTACGTCCATGATGCATGCGGCTGCCTCCCATTTTCTGTGGCCGTTTGCGGTGAGGTACGCGGCGCATCAGCTCAACCTTCACCCCCGGGTCTCTCGGCCTGCGATGTCCCCAGCCTTGCTGTGGACGGGGAAGGTTGGCGATGCGTCTGTGTTCCGTGTCTGGGGATCTCGGGCGTTTGTCCGCGACTTGTCTGCGGACAAGCTGTCCCCTCGTGCTGCTCCCTGTGTCTTCCTTGGCTTCCCCACTGACGCCCCAGGGTGGCAGTTTTACCACCCCTCCTCTCGTCGTGTTCTGTCCTCCCAGGACGTCACGTTCGACGAGTCAGTCCCCTTCTACCGTCTCTTCCCCTACCGCACTCCTTCCCTCCCCCCTCCCCCGGACTTCCTTGTGCCGGTTCCCCCCCCGGTAGACCCCCTACCCCCTCAGGTCCCTGCCCCCTCAGTATGTCCCAGGTAGACGCCGTTGACCCGGTCGAGGTTACTGGTGACTCTGGTGCTGCTGCGGGTGCTGAGCCTGGGGGTGCTGACTCTGGGGGTGCTGTGCGCGGGGGTGCTGAGCCTGGGGGTGCTACTGCTGGGGGTGCTGGGCCTGAGGGTGCTACTGCGGAGGGTGCGGAGCCTCGGGGTGCTGAGCCGGGGGGTGCTGAGCTGGGAGCTGCTGAGCCTGGGGGTGCTGCGTCTGGAGCTGCTGAGCCTGGGGTTTCTCCTGCAGCCGCGTCTCGCCGGGAGCCCCTCTCTCCACAGGAGCTGCGCGAGTGGTTCGCTCGCCGCTGGAGGCGTGCTGCTGAGTCTGGAGGTGCTGCTGGAGCTAGAGCTGGAGCTTCTTCGACCGTCGAGGGTGCGGGTGCTACCGGTCCCGGAGCTGCTGGACCTGCGGGGCCTCCTGGAGCTGGAGCTGCTGAGGGCGCTGGTGCTGAGCCTACTGCTCTTGGTCCTGCCGCTGGAGGTGTGGGTGGCGCTGGTGCTGTCGCAGAGGGTGCTGGTGCTGTCCCTGCTGCGTCTGGAGCTGCCGCGCGGCCTCGGCCGTACTTCGATCCGCTCCTGCAGCAGGTTCTTGGTCTTTCTTCTCCAGTAGAGGGTCCACCGCCTGTCCAGTCGCAGTCCCTGCTGGAGCCTTCCTCTCCACTGCCTGCTCCCTCTCCTTACACTGGTCCTACTGGAGGTCTTGCTGAGCGTCGTAAGCCTGCGTCTCGTCCCGCGTCGCCTGTTCGCACTGCTCGCGCTAGTGGTCGCAGTTCGCGTCAGCGTCCTCCTCCTGTCCCTGGCATGCACCGGATGTCTTTGCGTCCGTCCACTGCTCCTCTGCGTGCCCCTTTGCCTTCTCCTCCTGAGTCCTCTCTTCCTGCGCTTGCCGACCCTGGGTCGGACTCTCTTCGTGCTGCCAGTCCTATTGTCACGCGTCTCCTTGCTACTGTCGTCACTGACCCCTCTTTTGAGTCCACTGCTGCGTCTGCTCTAGTCGCTGAGCTCGTCGACTTTGCTGCTCGCTGTCGTCTCGACTACGCTGCCAGTCTTGTTGCTGAGTCTGCGTCTGTCTGTCCTCCGTCCGTCGGGGGTGAGTGTGCTCTTGGCACGGACGTCCTAGAGGACAGGCAGGAGGAGTTACAGTGTCTAGCGGCTGCTTCACCTCATCTCGCGTCTGTACTGCTTGCCCCTGAGGGAGACCCGGATGCACTAGACATCCCGACTCCGCGTTCTTACGCGGAGGCCGTAGAGGGTCCCTACTCCTCTCAGTGGCAGGCAGCTATGGATGCGGAGATGGCTTCCTGGAAGTCCACAGGCACCTACGTTGACGCGGTTCCCCCTCCTGGGGCAAACATCGTCAGTGGCATGTGGATCTTCAGGGTGAAGCGGCCGCCGGGCTCTCCACCTGTCTTCAAGGCACGGTACGTTGCTCGTGGCTTCAGTCAGCGGCAGGGAGTTGACTACTTTCAGACCTTCTCTCCCACCCCGAAGATGACTACTCTTCGGGTGCTGCTGCAAATAGCCGCTCAGCGCGACTACGAGCTTCACTCTCTCGACTTCAGCACTGCGTTCTTGCAGGGTAGCTTGCACGAGGAGATCTGGCTTCGCCGTCCACCTGGCTTCACTGGGACTTTCCCTTCTGGCACCCAGTGGAGCCTCCGACGGCCAGTCTACGGTCTCCGCCAGGCACCGCGTGAGTGGCACGACACACTGAGGACTACGCTTGCGGCTCTTGGGTTTGCTCCTTCTTCTGCTGACCCGTCGCTGTCTCTTCGCACCGACACTTCCCTGCCGCCGTTCTACATCCTCGTGTACGTTGACGACTTGGTCTTTGCCACAGCGGACACTGCTGGACTCGCCTACGTGAAGTCCGAGCTGCTGAAGAGACACACGTGCACAGACCTGGGTGAACTGCGCAGCTACCTTGGCTTGCAGATCACTCGGGACAGAGCACGCCGCACCATTACCTTGACTCAGTCACACATGGTGCAGCAGGTCCTTCAGCGCTTCGGCTTCACGTACTCCTCGCCTCAGGCCACTCCTCTGCCTACTCGCCACTCACTCTCAGCTCTGCCTTCGGATGAGTCCGTAGAGTCGAGTGGTCCGTATGCAGAGCTTGTTGGCTGCCTCATGTACCTGATGACCTGCACACGACCTGACCTTGCATACCCTCTGAGCATTCTTGCACGCTATGTTGCTCCTGGGAGACACAGACCGGAGCACATGGCTGCAGCGAAGAGGGTATTGCGCTACCTGTGCAGTACGTCGGGCATGGGGCTAGTGCGTGGAGGGCGGAGTCCAGTGGTCCTTACCGGCCACGCGGACGCTTCTTGGGCTGACGACCAGGCTACGCAGCGGTCGTCACAGGGTTACACCTTCAGCCTTGGTTCCGGCTCTGTCTCGTGGCGGTCTACTCGCTCGTCCTCGGTTCTCGGCTCCAGTTGTGAGGCTGAGATCTACGCCGGGGCCATGGCTGCACAGGAGCTTCGCTGGCTCTCCTACCTGCTGACTGACCTTGGAGAGCCGCCTCGTTCTCCTCCAGTGCTGTACGTAGACAACAAGGCCATGCTGGCCTTGTGTCGAGAGCAGCGCTTGGAGCACAGAACGAAGCACATTGCTCTCCGCTACTTCCTTGCTCGTGAGCTGCAGCAGCGTGGTCAGTTGCGACTTGCGTACGTGGCCTCTGAGGCCAACACTGCTGATGTGTTCACCAAGGCACTCGCGCCTTGTGACCATCAGCGCTTTTGCACCCAGCTGGGTCTTGTACCTGTCTTGCCTCACTTGCTCTCCTCTTGACTTCACTTGTACTGTGACATATATATATACCTGCTCTTGCTTGTCTTGTTTTATATATATGTCTGTACTCCTGCATGTGAACTGGCCTCTGGCCCTGCTCTTGTGCTCGGACTGTGTGGTGACTTTGTGATCCACCCTGAGCTTGCTCTGCTTTGCTTTACTTGACTGGTCTTGTGACCCCTTGTTCTCCCCCACTTTGCCTATGGGGGTGTGTCAGATTTATATGACATATTTGCTGTAGCCTATAGTGGGGTAGCACATATGGGGTACAGGGTTTCTAGGGTTGTATTTGTACCCAATCTTTCCTTAGTCATTTCATTCCTGTTTTCCTTGCTTCACATTTAGCTGACTAGATTTATATATTTCCCACCTTCTGATCGAGTGAGACCGCTAGATTCCCTTTACTTTTTGAGAAATGAGTGTTTCTGTTCTCCTTGGCCCCACTTGCACTATAAGTGCGAAATGCCGGCCAGACTGGCCGATGCACCATTTTCTCTACACATGTGCGGTAATTACCTTTCAAACCCTTACGTTCACTTGGTTAGTATATTTCCTACCTTAGATTTGAGTGAGACTATTAGATTCCGTGTACTATGCGAGATCTGAGCGGTTCTGTTCTCCCGGGCATTTGCACTCTAAGTTCCCATACTGACCGACCTGGCCAATGCACCATTTTCCATATACATATGCATTAGATTCCTTTCGAACCTTATTAGCTCACTAGATTTATATATTTCACACCTTCTGATCGAGTGAGACCGCTAGATTCCCTTTACTTTTTGAGAAATGAGCGTTTCCGTTCTCCCTGGCCCCACTTGCACTATAAGTGCGAAATGCCGGCCAGACTGGCCGATGCACCATTTTCTCTACACATGTGCGTTAGTTACCTTTCAAACCCTTACGTTCACTCGATTAATATATTTCCTACCCTATATTTGAGTGAGACCATTAGATTCCGTGTACTATGCGAGATTTGAGCGCTTCCGTTCTCCTAGGCATTTGCACTCTAAGTTCCCATACTAACCGACCTGGCCAATGCACCATTTTCTCTATACATGTGCGATAGATTCCTTCCAAACCTTATTCGCTCACTAGATTTATATATTTCCCACCTTCTGATCGAGTGAGACCGCTAGATTCCCTCTACTTTTTGAGAAATGAGCGTTTCCGTTCTCCCTGGCCCCACTTGCACTATAAGTGCGAAATGCCGGCCAGACTGGCCGATGCACCATTTTCTCTACACATGTGCGTTAGTTACCTTTCAAACCCTTACGTTCACTCGATTAATATATTTCCTACCCTATATTTGAGTGAGACCATTAGATTCCGTGTACTATGCGAGATCTGAGCGCTTCCGTTCTTCTAGGCATTTGCACTCTAAGTTCCCATACTAACCGACCTGGCCAATGCACCATTTTCTCTATACATGTGCGATAGATTCCTTCCAAACCTTATTCGCTCACTAGATTTATATATTTCCCACCTTCTGATCGAGTGAGACCGCTAGATTCCCTCTACTTTCTGAGAAACGAGCGTTTCCGTTCTCCCTGGCCCCACTTGCACTATAAGTGCGAAATGCCAGCCAGACTGGCCAATGCACCATTTTCTCTACACATGTGCATTAGTTACCTTTCAACCCCTTATGTTCACTCGATTAATATATTTCCTACCTTATATTTGAGTGAGACCACTAGATTCCGTGTACTATGCGAGATCTGAGCGCTTCCGTTCTCCCGGGCATTTGCACTCTAAGTTCCCATACTGACCGACCTGGCCAATGCACCATTTTCCATATACATATGCATTAGATTCCTTCCAAACCTTATTAACTCACTAGATTTATATATTTCCCACCTTCTGATTGAGTGAGACCGCCAGATTCCCTCTACTTTTTGAGAAACGAGCGTTTCCGTTCTCCCTGGCCCCACTTGCACTATAAGTGCGAAATGCCGGCCAGACTGGCCGATGCACCATTTTCTCTACACATGTGCGTTAGTTACCTTTCAACCCCTAATGTTCACTCGATTAATATATTTCCTACCCTATATTTGAGTGAGACCACTAGATTCCTTGTACTATGCAGGATCTGAGCGCTTCCGTTCTCCCAGGCATTTGCATTTTAAGTTCCCATACTGACCGACCTGGCCAATGCACCATTTTCTCTATACATGTGCGATAGATACCTTTCAAACCTTTTTAGCTGACTAGATTTATATATTTCCCACCTTCTGATCGAGTGAGACCGCTAGATTCCCTTTACTTTTTGAGAAATGAGCGTTTCCGTTCTCCTTGGCCCCACTTGCACTATAAGTGCGAAATGCTGGCCAGACTGGCCGATGCACCATTTTCTCTACACATGTGCGGTAGTTACCTTTCAAACCCTTACGTTCACTCGATAAATATATTTCCTACTTTATATTTGAGTGAGACCACTAGATTCCGTGTACTATGCGAGATCTGAGCGGTTCCGTTCTCCCAAGCATTTGCACTCTAAGTTCCCATACTGACCGACCTGGCCAATGCACCATTTTTCATATACATATGCATTAGATTCCTTTCAAACCTTATTAGCTCACTAGATTTATATATTTCCCACCTTCTGATCGAGTGAGACCGCTAGATTCCCTTTACTTTTTGAGAAATGAGCGTTTCCGTTCTCCCTGGCCCCACTTGCACTATAAGTGCGAAATGCCGGCCAGACTGGCCGATGCACCATTTTCTCTACACATGTGCGTTAGTTACCTTTCAAACCCTTACGTTCACTCGGTTAATATATTTCCTACCTTATATTTGAGTAAGACCATTAGATTCCGTGTACTATGCGAGATCTGAGCGGTTCCGTTCTCCCAGGCATTAGCACTCTAAGTTCCCATACTAACCGACCTGGCCAATGCACCATTTTCCATATACATATGCATTAGATTCCTTTCGAACCTTGTTAGCTCACTAGATTTATATATTTCCCACCTTCTGATCGAGTGAGACCGCTAGATTCCCTTTAATGTTTGAGAAATGAGCGTTTCCGTTCTCCTTGGCCCTACTTGCTTATAAGTGCGAAAGGCCGACCAGACTGGCCGATGCACCATTTTCTCTACACATGTGCGTTAGTTACCTTTCAAACCCTTACGTTCACTATATGAATATATTTCCTACCTTCTATTTGAGTGAGACCACTAGATTCCGTGTACTATGCGAGATCTGAGCGCTTCCGTTCTCCCTGGCATTTGCATTTTAAGTTCCCATACTGACCGACCTAGCCAATGCACCATTTTCTCTATACATGTGCGATAGATACCTTTCAAACCTTTTTAGCTGACTAGATTTATATATTTCCCACCTTCTGATCGAGTGAGACCTCTAGATTCCCTTTAGTTTTTTAGAAATGAGCGTTTCCATTCTCCCTGACCCCACTTGCACTATAAGTGCGAAATGCCGGCCAGACTGGCAGATGCACCATTTTCTCTACACATGTGCGTTAGTTACCTTTCAAACCCTTACGTTCAATCGATTAATATATTTCCTACCTTATATTTGAGTGAGACCACTAGATTCCGTGTACTATGCAAGATCTGAGCGGTTCCGTTCTCCCAGGCATTTGCACTCTAAGTTCCTATACTGACCGACCTGGCCAATGCACCATTTTCCATATACATATGCATTAGATTCCTTTCAAACCTTATTAGCTCACTAGATATATATATTTCCCACCTTGTCATCGAGTGAGACCGCTAGATTCCCTTTACTTTTTGAGAAATGAGCGTTTCCGTTCTCCCTGGCCCCACTTGCACTATAAGTGCGAAATGCCGGCCAGACTGGCCGATGCACCATTTTCTCTACACATGTGCGTTATTTACCTTTCAAACCCTTACGTTCAATCGATTAATATATTTCCTACCTTATATTTGAGTGAGACCACTAGATTCCGTGTACTATGCAAGATCTGAGCGGTTCCGTTCTCCCAGGCATTTGCACTCTAAGTTCCCATACTGACCGACCTGGCCAATGCACCATTTTCCATATACATATGCATTAGATTCCTTTCAAACCTTATTAGCTCACTAGATATATATATTTCCCACCTTCTGATCGAGTGAGACCGCTGGATTCCCTTTACTTTTTGAGAAATCAGCGTTTCCGTTCTCCCTGGCCCCACTTGCACTATAAGTGCGAAATGCCGGCCAGACTGGCCGATGCACCATTTTCTCTACACATGTGCGTTAGTTACCTTTCAAACCCTTACGTTCACTCGGTTAATATTTTTCCTACCTTATATTTGAGTGAGACCATTAGATTCCGTGTACTATGCGAGATCTGAGCGGTTCCGTTCTCCAAGGCATTTGCACTCTAAGTTCCCATACTGACCAACCTGGCCAATGCACCATTTTCCATAAACATATGCATTAGATTCCTTTCGAACCTTATTAGCTCACTAGATTTATATATTTCCCACCTTCTGATCGAGTGAGACCGCTGGATTCCCTTTACTTTTTGAGAAATCAGCGTTTCCGTTCTCCCTGGCCCCACTTGCACTATAAGTGCGAAATGCCGGCCAGACTGGCCGATGCACCATTTTCTCTACACATGTGCGTTATTTACCTTTCAAACCCTTACGTTCACTCGATTAATATGTTTCCTACCTTATATTTGAGTGAGACCAATAGATTCCGTGTACTATGCGAGATCTGAGCGGTTCCGTTCTCCCAGGCATTTGCACTCTAAGTTCCCATACTGACCGACCTGGCCAATGCACCATTTTCCATATACATATGCATTAGATTCCTTTCGAACCTTATTAGCTCACTAGATTTATATATTTCCCACCTTCTGATCGAGTGAGACCGCTAGATTCCCTCTACCTTTTGAGAAACGAGCGTTTCCGTTCTCCCTGGCCCCACTTGCACTATAAGTGCGAAATGCCGGCCAGACTGGCCGATGAACCATTTTCTCCACACATGTGCGTTAGTTACCTTTCAAACCCCTACGTTCACTGGATTTATATATTTCCTACCTTATATTTGAGTGAGACCACTAGATTCCGTGTACTATGCGAGATCTGAGCGGTTCCGTTCTCCCAGGCATTTGCACTCTAAGTTCCCATACTGACCGACCTGGCCAATGCACCATTTTCCATATACATATGCATTAGATTCCTTTCAAACCTTTTTAGCTGACTAGATTTATATATTTCCCACCTTCTGATTGAGTGAGACCGCTAGATTCCCTCTACTTTTTGAGAAATGAGCGTTTCCGTTCTCCTTGGCCCTACTTGCTTATAAGTGAGAAATGCCGACCAGTCTGGTGTCGGAACATTATAGCTTACTCATTTCTGTAGGCTATAGTGGGGTATTCCATAGGGGGTACAACCCAATTAGGGTTTCATATTTGTACTCACTTCATTTCATAGTCCACTCATTCTCGTTCAGTTCTTCTCATGGTATCGAGCAGGTTCCCCTGTGGGAACTGCGTCTAGGGCCCACCACTCGAAACCTTTTTTTTCCTGCCCGAAGCGCACTCATCCCAAGTCGCGCCTCGGGCCACTCCTTCGCCGAGCCGCCCTAGCGGCCGGCCTTACCTTCGCGGCCCCGCCACCCAGTGAACGTGGCCCCGCCGCCTCTTCTCTAGCGGCCCCGCCGCCCTGATCTCGCGGCCTCGCCGCCCAAGCGCTCGCGGCCCCGCCGTCCCTGATCTCACGGCCCCACCGCCCCGGCGCTCACGACCCCGCAGCCCCTGATCTTGCGGCCCCGCCGCCCCAGCGCTCCCGGCCCCGCCGCCCCTGATACGCGGCCCCGCCGCCCCAGCGCTCCCGGCCCCGCCGCCCCTGATACGCGGCCCCGCCGCCCCAGAGCTCCCGGCCCCGCCGCCCCTGATACGCGACCCCGCCGCCCGAGCGCTCCCGGCCCCGCCTCCCCTGATACGCGGCCTCGCCGTCCCTAATCTCACGGCCCCGCCGCCCCAGCGCTCACGGCCCCGCCGCCCCTGATCTCGCGGCCCCGCCGACCCAGCGCTCTCGGCCCCGCCGCCCCTGCTACGCGGCCCCGCCGCCCCTGATCTCACGGCCCCGCTGCCCCAGCGCTCACGGCCCCGCCGCCCCTGATCTCACGGCCCCGCTGCCCCAGCGCTCACGGCCCCGCCGCCCCTGATCTCGCGGCCTCGCCGCCCTAACGCTCACGGCCCCGCCGCCCCTGGTCTCGCGGCCCCGCCGCCCCAGCACTCACGGCCCCGCCGCCCCTTGCTCTCGCGCCGCCCAACTGCAGCAGCCGAGCCGCCCAACTGCAGGAGCCGAGCCGCCGGACCGCCGAGCAGCAGTGCAGCCGAGCCGCCCTGCACCCGAGCCGCCCCGCCCGAGCCGCCCTACAGCCGAGCCGCCCGGGAGCCGAGTCGTTGAGTAGCCGAGCCGCCTTTCTACCGAGCCGCCCGACCTGACCTGCCTGGTGAGCACTGTACCGCTATCACTGCGTGCCCTTCCCCTACTGCTTGCACTGCTTCAGTGTCGTCGTCATGGCTACCCCTAGTGTCCTCGCTTTTGACGCTGAGGGTCGAGCCATAGACTTTGAGGTCTGGCTCGACGACCTGCAGCTGTTTTTACAGTGCGATAGGGCGGACGGTCTGTCTCTCTTTGACCTCACCTCTGGCGCCGTCCCTTCCCCTGCTGCTGATGCTGACGCCACTGTTCGCTCGCAGTGGGCCACGCGCGATGCTGTTGCACGTCTTGCTGTGCGTCGCCTTTTGCCTACCGCTGAGCGCGCGCACTTTAGCCAGTACAAGAGTGCCCAGACCTTGTACGACGCTGTAGTTGCGCGCTACTCCTCCCCTGCCACTGCTGCACTGAGCCGCCTCATGCTCCCCTTCCTCTTCCCTGACCTTGCCGCCTTTCCCACTGTCGCTGATCTCATCACGCACCTCCGCACTAGTGACACTCGCTACCGCGCTGCGCTTCCTGCTGACTTCTGCGCCAAGAACCCCCCCCCCATGTACATCACTCTCTACTTCTTAGTCACTTGCCTCCCTGACTCCCTTCGTGTAGTCCGGGATGTCAGAATATTATCTTATTGTTCTAGCCTGTAGTGGGGTGCTCTATAGGGAGTACAACCCTTCTAGGGTTTGCTATTTGTATCCTCATTCTTGCTAGTTCAATCCTCTTTCTTTCTTCTAACTTTGACATGCTATCAGAGCAGGTCGATCCCCTTGGATCGATCCTGTGGGTGGGTTACCACCTCGCTTCCGCTGCTACTTTTTCCTCCCGCCGTGCGCCCCGAGGCGCGCGGCGGTTTTCTGCCCGCCGTGCGCCCCGAGGCGCGCGGCGGTTCATTGCCCGCTGTGCGCCCCGAGGCGCGCGGCGGGCTTCTCCACTACGTCGCGGCCCCGCCCCGATCATCGCGGCCCCGCCCCTTGACGCGGCCCCGCTCTACGTCGCGGCCCCGCCCCTTGACGCGGCCCCGCTCTACGTCGCGGCCCCGCCCCGGCCCGTCGCCGCCCGTGCGCCTGCCCGGCTCGGCCCCGCCCTTCGTCGCGGCCCCGCCCCGGCCCGTCGCCGCCCGTGCGCCTGCCCGGCTTGGCCCCGCCCTACCTTCGCGGCCCCGCCCAACGTTGCGGCCCCGCCCTATGTCGCGGCCCCGCCCTACGTCGCGGCCCCGCCCTATGTCGCGGCCCCGCCCCGACCGTCGCGGCCCCGCCCCTCGTCGCGGTCCCGGCCCCGTCCCCCCCCCCCCCCCCCCCTTTCTCCCCTCCCCCCCATTTCCCGTCGTCCGTCGAGGCGACCTGAGGGGCGCGCTGTGGGGTGGCAGGTATGGGGGTGGCCAGTGTACTTTCCTCCCTTTGCTCCTCCTCCTCCTTCGTCTCCCACTGCTGCAGCTGTCGCTGAGGGGGGGTGGTTGTGTGGGAGACTGGGTTTAGGGTTTTAGGGGGGTGCGTGGGAGTAGAGCTAGTGGTGTAGCAGTGGGTGTGTATCAGGGGGGTGGGACTGTGTGCGGGAGGATGAGCGGAGGTTGCCAGTTTGTCGTCAGCAGCACCTGTAGTCCGGGGCGCTGTCCCGGTAGCCCAGTCGTAGCCAGCTGTGCCAGCCGCCCGTGGGTCCGTTGCCCGTCCGCCGCTATTTGAGCCGCGGGGCCTGTTACTCCTGTAGTCCGGGCGCTGTCCGGTAGCCGCTGTGCCAGTCTGCCTCCTGTTGCCCGTGTGTCTGCAGCTTCAGCCGTCGCCTCCTGTCTCCTCTCCCCTCACTCTCCCTCCTCCTCCTCACTTGCCCGTTGTGACTACCACTAGCTTTGCTTATAATTGTGAACTCTAAACTATTTCATCTTGAACTTGTGCTCAGAATGTGTGGTGACATTGTGATCCACCCTGAGCTTGTTTTGCTTTGCCTGCTCTGCTGATTACACCCCACTTTGGCTATGGGGGTGTGTCAGAATATTATCTTATTGTTCTAGCCTGTAGTGGGGTGCTCTATAGCGAGTACAACCCTTCTAGGGTTTGCTATTTGTATCCTCATTCTTGCTAGTTCAATCCTCTTTCTTTCTTCTAACTTTGACACGGGACCACTTCCTCGCGGTCTGTCCCACCACCCTCACAGTCGACAGCCTAGAGAAGGCCCTCCTTGCAGCAGAGAAGAGCATAGTCGCTGTAGGAGCCTCTCGAGGTGACCCCCGCGCCCCCATCTTTGAGGGGTGTTCTCCATCCCCTCTCCTGCCCTCTGTCGCCTCTACCGCTGCGGCTGACCTCGTTGGTCTTGAGTCGGTCGGTGCGGCGTCTGCCCCTAGCGGGAGACGCCGCTCTGGCAAGGGCAAGGGGGGCAAGGGAGCGGGTGGGACCAGTGGGGGCGGTGGGGGTGGAGGTGGAGGCGGCGGAGGGAGTGGGGGTGGCGGTGGAGGTGGTAGCAGGGGTGGGGGTGCTAGTGGCGGCAGTGGAGGCGGGGGTGGTGGCGGCGGTGGCGGTGGTAGCGGAGGTGGCGGAGGTGGCGGCGGTGGAGGCGGAGGCGGGGGCGGTGGAGGCGGAGGCGGGGGTGGCGGTGGTGGAGGTGGTCGGAGTGGAGCTTCGCAGCGGAGCAGCACAAGGGGAGGTCAGCGCCAGTAGCAGCAGCAGCAGCGTTCTCGCGACGTCCCCACCCCTCAGCAGCTCCGTGAGTGGTACACGCAGCGTCAGCGCGGTGGGGGTTTTGGTCCCTGCACCTACGTTCTCCGCACTGGCGACCGCGCAGGAGAGGAGTGTGGGGGCACCCACACCGCCCAGCGCTGCTTTGGCCGCTTGACGGACGCTTGGCGCCAGCAGTTCCCGGAGGCCGCGGAGATCCCCCGCTGGGGAGAGCTGTCTAGGGCTGGTGTAGCTATCTTTGATCTTGATTTTGATGCTATCCTTGCTGCCATGTATGCTGTGACCATTGGTGATGAGGGTGACTGTTACCGGTGTTTCCCGCCCAACCCGGGCATTGGTACTGCTGCTCCTGGTGCCGGTGAGGCTTCTGCTCTAGGTGCCAGTGCGTCTGTGCTCTCAGGTGCTGGTGAGGCTGCTCTCTCAGGTACTAGTGCGTCTGCGCTCTCAGTTACTGCGTCGGCTTTGGCCTCCCACACCTTCACTCTTGACTCTGGAGCATCTCGCTCTTTCTTTCGGGACCGCACCACACTCACGCCGCTTAGTTGGCCGGTTGCGGTTTCCCTGGCTGACCCCTCTGGGGGTCCTGTCCTGTCTCGCTTCTCCACAGTCCTCCCGTGTCCGGCGGCTCCCTCTGGCACCCTGTCTGGTCTCTACCTCCCCTCGTTCTCTACGAACTTGGTGAGTGGTGCTGACCTACAGGATGCGGGAGTCCACCAGTTCACCCCTGCTCGTAAGCGAGTGACGCACTCGCAGAGGCTAGCACGGGTCGTCACCTGGCAACGTTTACACGTCAGCCAGGGTCGAGTCTGTACACACTGACCACTGCTTCTCCTCCATGTGCTGAGTCTGGTAGAGTCGCTTCGTCTGGTCAGGTGTTTGCTGCAGCGTCCAAGTCTGGTCCTGAGTCTGCCCCCTGTTCGTGTCGCCGTATGTCTCACGAGACCCTCCTCTGGCACCACCGCCTTGGCCACCCCTCTCTGCTTCGGCTCAGAGGCATGGCCTCCCGTCTTCTTGTGTCTGGTCTCCCCCGGTCCCTCCCTCCCCTTCCTCAGGGCCCTGGCCCTGCGTATGTCCCCTGTGTTGAGGGGCGCCAGCATGCTGCCCCTCACTCCTCCCAGTTTCCTCTGACAGAGGCTCCGTTGCAGACGCTTCACATGGACGTGTGGGGCCCTGCCCGCGTCCGTGGACTCGGTCACGAGCGCTACTTCCGGTTGGTGGTTGACGACTACTCGCGTTACACCACAGTCTTCCCCTTGCGCAGCAAGGGTGATGTCACTGAGGTGCTGATCGACTGGATCCGCGCAGCTCGTCTCCAGCTCAGGCAGAGCTTTGGCTCGGACTTTCCTGTGTTGCGTCTGCACTCGGACAGAGGCGGAGAGTTCTCCTCTGGCCTTCTGCGTGCTTACTGTCGTGCGCGAGGCATCCGCCAGACCTTCACGCTTCCGGACTCCCCGCAGCAAAATGGGATTGCAGAGCGCCGCATTGGCATGGTCATGGACATCGCTCGTACGTCTATGATGCATGCGGCTGCCCCCCATTTTCTGTGGCCGTTTGCGGTCAGGTACGCGGCGCATCAGATCAACCTCCACCCCAGGGTCTCCAGGCCGGAGACCTCCCCAGCCTTGCTGTGGACGGGGAAGGTTGGCGATGCGTCGGCGTTCCGGGTCTGGGGATCTCGGGCGTTTGTCCACGACTTGTCTGCGGACAAGCTGTCCCCTCGCGCTGCTCCCTACGTCTTCCTGGGGTTCCCCCCAGACGCCCCTGGGTGGCAGTTCTACCACCCCACCTCTCGACGTGTTCTGTCCTCCCAGGACGTCACGTTCGACGAGTCGGTACCCTACTACCGCCTCTTCCCCTACCGCACTCCGTCCCTCCCCCCGCCCCCGCTCTTCTTGGTACCAGGTCCCCCCCCGGTAGACCCCCTCCCCCCTAAGGGTCCTGCCCCTTCAGGTGTGTCCCAGGTAGACGCGGTCGAGCCTGTCGAGGTCACTGGTGACTCTGGTGCTGCTGCGGGAGCTGAGCCTGGGGGTGCTGAGCCTAGAGGTGCTACGCTTGGGGGTGGTGAGCCTGGGGGTGCGGAGTCTGGAGGTGCTGAGCCTGGGGGTGCTGAGTTTGGGGGTGCTGAGCCTGGGGGTACTGAGTCTGGGGGTGCTGAGCCTGGGGGTGCTGGGCCTGGGGGTGCTGAGCCTGGGGGTGCTGCGACTGGGGGTGCTCCGCCTGGAGGTGCTTCATCTCGCCGAGAGCCACTCTCCCCATAGGAGCTGCGTGAGTGGTTTGCCCGGCGCTGGAGGCGTGCTGCTGGTGCTTGAGGTTCTTCGGCTGCAGAGGGTGCTGCTGCCGAGCGTCCCGGAGGTGCTCATACTGTGGGTGATGGAGCTGCTGGGTCTGAGGGTTCTCCTGGAGCTGGTGCTACTGAGGGAGTTGGCGCTGAGAGTACCGCTGGCGGTCCGGCTGGCAGTGCTCCTGGGGGTGCTGCTGGAGGTTTTGGAGCTACTGGAGGTGCTGCTGGAGGTGCTGCTGGAGCGGGTACTTCTGCTGGGGGTAATGGTGCTGTCCCTGCTGTTTCTGGCGTCGCCACGCGGCCCCGACCGTACTTCGTTCCGCTCCTGCAGCAGGTTCTTGGTCTTACACCTTCTCCTGGTCCTCCTCCTCCTCCCTTAGAGGGTCCACAGCCTGTCTTGTCACAGTCAGAGCTACAGCCTGCCTCCCCTTTGCCTGCTCCTTCTCCCTACGCTGGTCCGACTGGAGGTCTTACTGAGCGTCGTGAGCCTGCGTCTCGTCCTGCGTTGCCTGTTTGTCCTGCGCGCACTAGTGGACGCGGTTCGCGTCAGCGTCCTCCTTCTGTCCCTGGCACGCACCGGATGTCTCTGCGTCCGTCCACTGCTCCTCTGCGTGCCCCTTTGCCTTCTCAACCTACTTCCTCTCTTCCTGCTCTTGCCGACCCGGAGTCGGACTCTCTTCGTGCTGCCAGTCCTACTGTCACGCGTCTCCTTGCTACTGCTGCCAGTGACCCTTCTTTCGAGTCTTCTGCTGCGTCTACCCTTGTCACTGAGCTCGTCGACTTTGCTGCGCGCTGTCGTCTAGACTACGCTGCTAGTCTTGTCGCTGAGTCTGAGTCTGCCTGTCCTCCGTCCGTCGGGGGTGCGTGTGCCCTTGGCACGGACGTCCTTGAGGACACGCAGGAGGAGTTCCAGTGTCTGGCCGCCACTTCACCTCATCTCGCGTCTGTACTGCTAGTCCCTGAGGGAGACCCGGATGCACTTGACATCCCGACTCCGCGCTCTTACGCGGAGGCGATAGAGGGTCCCTACTCCTCTCGGTGGCAGGCAGCTATGGATGCAGAGATGGCTTCCTCGAAGTCCATAGGCACCTACGTTGACGCGGTTCCCCCTCCTTGGGCGAACATAGTCAGTGGCATGTGGATCTTCAGGGTGAAGCGGCCACGGGGTTCTCCGCCTGTCTTCAAGGCACGTTACGTGGCTCGTGGCTTCAGTCAGCGGCAGGGGGTTGACTACTTTCAGACCTTCTCCTCCACCCCGAAGATGACCACTCTTCGGGTACTGCTGCACGTTGCTGCTCACCGTGACTACGAGCTGCACTCTCTCGACTTCAGCACAGCTTTCTTGCAGGGCAGCCTGCACGAGGAGATCTGGCTGCGTCGCCCACCTGGCTTCACTGGGTCTTTCCCTCCTGGTACCCAGTGGAGTCTCCGGCGTCCAGTCTACGGTCTCCGCCAGGCGCCACGTGAGTGGCACGACACACTGAGGACTACGCTGGCGGCACTTGGGTTTGCTCCTTTTACTGCCGACCCGTCGCTGTTTCTGCGCAGCGACACCTCTCTGCCGCCGTTCTACATCCTCCTTTACGTCGACGACTTGGTCTTTGCCACAGCTGACACTGCAGGACTCGCCTACGTGAAGTCCGAGCTGCAGAAGAGACACACGTTCACTGACCTGGGTGAACTGCGCAGCTACCTTGGCTTGCAGATCACCCGGGACAGAGCACGCCGCACCATTACCCTGACTCAGTCACACATGGTGCAGCAGGTCCTTCAGCGCTTCGGCTTCACGTACTCCTCGCCTCAGGCCACTCCTCTGCCTACTCGCCACTCGCTCTCAGCTCTGCCTTCGGATGAGCCCGTAGAGTGGAGTGGCTCGTATGCAGAGCTTGTTGGCTGCCTCATGTACCTGATGACCTGCACACGACCTGACCTTGCATACCCTCTTAGCATTCTCGCACGCTATGTTGCTCCTGGGAGACACCGACCAGAGCACATGGCAGCAGCGAAGAGGGTGTTGCAGTACGTCGGGCATGGGGCTAGTGCTTGGAGGGCGGAGACCAGTGGTCCTCAGTGGGCACGCAGACTCTTCTTGGGCTGACGACCAGGCTACGTAGCGGTCGTCACAGGGTTACACCTTCAGCCTTTGTTCCGGCTCTGTTTCGCGGCGGGCTACCCGCTCGTCTTTTGTTCTCGGCTCCAGTTGTGAGGCTGAGATCTACGCCGGGGCTATGGCTGCACAGGAGTGACGCAGGCTCACCTACCTGCTGACCGACCTTGGAGAGCCGCCTCGTTCTCCTCCAGTGCTGTACGTAGACAACAAGGCCATGCTAGCCTTGTGTTGAGAGCAGCGACTGGAGCACAGAACAAAGCACATTGCTCTCCGCTACTTTCTTGCTCGTGAGCTACAGCAGCGTGGACAGTTGCGACTTGCGTACGTGGCCTCTGAGGCCAACACTGCTGATTTCTTCACCAAGGCACTTGCGCCTTGTGATCATCAGCATTGTTGCACGCAGCTGGGTCTTGTGCCTGTCTTGCCTCACTTGCTCACTTCTTGACTTTGCTTGTACCTTCCCCTATATATACTCTTGCTCTTGCTTGCTTGACTCTTGTATATCTTTATATATGATCTTGCATGTGAACAGGCCTTGTGGCCCTTGAACTTGTGCTTGGAACGTGTGGTGACTTTGTGATCCACCCTGAGCTTTGCTTTGCTTTGCTTGACTGGTCTTGTGACCCCTTGTTCTCCCCCACTTTGCCTATGGGGGTGTGTCAGAACATTATAGCTTACTCATTTCTGTAGGCTATAGTGGGGTATCCCGTAGGGGGTACAACCCAATTAGGGTTTCATATTTGTACTCACTTCATTTCATAGTCCACTCATTCTCGTTCAGTTCTTCTCAACTGGCCGATGCACCATTTTCTCTACACATGTGCGTTAGTTACCTTTCAAACCCTTACGTTCACTAGATGAATATATTTCCTACCTTCTATTTGAGTGAGACCACTAGATTCCGTGTACTATGCGAGATCTGAGCGCTTCCGTTCTCCCTGGCATTTGCATTTTAAGTTCCGATACTAACTGACCTGGCCAATGCACCATTTTCTCTATACATGTGCGATAGATACGTTGCAAACCTTTTAAGCTGACTAGATTTATCTATTTCCCACCTTCTGATCAAGTGAGACCGCTAGATTCCCTTTACTTTTTGAGAAATAGGCGTTTCCGTTCTCCCTGGCCCCACTTGCACTATAAGTGCGAAATGCCAGCCAGACTGGCAGATGCACCATTTTCTCTACACATGTGCGTTAGTTACCTTTCAAACCCTTACGTTCACTCAATTAATATATTTCCTACCTTATATTTGAGTGAGACCACTAGATTCCGTGTACTATGCGAGATATGAGCAGTTCCGTTCTCCCAGGCATTTGCACTCTAAGTTCCCATACTGACCGACCTGGCCAATGCACCATTTTCCATATACATATGCATTAGATTCCTTTCAAACCTTATTAGCTCACTAGATTTATATATTTCCCACCTTCTGATCGAGTGAGACCGCTAGATTCCCTTTACGTCTTGAGAAATGAGCGTTTCCGATCTCCCTGGCCCCACTTGCACTATAAGTGCGAAGTGCCGGCCAGGCTGGCCGATGCACCATTTTCTCTACACATGTGCGTTAGGTACCTTTCAAACCCTTACGTTCACTCGGTTAATATATTTCCTACCTTATATTTGAGTGAGACCATTAGATTCCGTGTACTATGCGAGATCTGAGCGGTTCCGTTCTCCTAGGCATTTGCATTTTAAGTTCCCATACTGACCGACCTGGCCAATGCACCATTTTCCATATACATATACATTAGATTCCTTTCGAACCTTATTAGCTCACTAGATCTATATATTTCCCACCTTCTCATCGAGTGAGACTGCTAGATTCTCTTTACTTTTTGAGAAATGAGCGTTTCCGTTCTCCTTGGCCCTACTTGCACTATAAGTGCGAAATGCCGACCAGACTGGCCAATGCACAACTTTCTCTACACATGTGCGTTAGTTACCTTTCAAACCTTTACGTTCACTAGATGAATATATTTCCTACCTTCTATTCGAGTGAGACCACTAGATTCCGTGTACTATGCGAGATCTGAGCGCCTCCGTTCTCCCTGGCATTTGCATTTTAAGTTCCGATATTGACCGACCTGGCCAATGCACCATTTTCTCTATACATGTGTAATAGATACCTTTCAAACCTTTTTAGCTGTCCAGATTTATATATTTCCCACCTTCTGATCGAGTGAGACCGCTAGATTCCCTTTACTTTTTTAGAAATGAGCGTTTCCGTTCTCCCTGGCCCCACTTGCACTATAGGTGCGAAATGCCGGCCAGACTGGCCGATGCACCATTTTCTCTACACATGTGCGTTAGTTATCTTTCAAAACCTTACGTTCACTCGATTAATATATTTGCTACCTTATATTTGAGTGAGACCACTAGATTCCGTGTACTATGCGAGATCTGAGCGGTTCCGTTCTCCCAGGCATTTGCACTCTAAGTTCCCATACTGACCGACCTAGCCAATGCTCCATTTTCCATATACATATGCATTAGATTCCTTTCGAACCTTATTAGCTCACTAGATTTATATATTTCCCACCTTCTCATCGAGTGAGACTGCTAGATTCCCTTTACTTTTTGAGAAATGAGCGTTTCCGTTCTCCCTGGCCCCACTTGCACTATAAGTGCGAAATGCCGGCCAGACTGGCCGATGCACCATTTTCTCTACACATGTGAGTTAGTTACCTTTCAAACCCTTACATTCACTTGATTAATATATTTCCTACCTTATATTTGAGTAAGACCACTAGATTCCGTGTACTATGCGAGATCTGAGCGGTTCCGTTCTCCCAGGCATTTGCACTCTAAGTTCCCATACAGACCGACCTGGCCAATGCACCATTTTCCATATACATATGCATTAGATTCCTTTTGAACCTTATTAGCTCACTAGATCTATATATTTCCCACCTTCTGATCGAGTGAGACGGCTAGATTCCCTCTGCTTTTTGAGAAATGAGCGTTTCCGTTCTCCCTGGCCCCACTTGCACTAAAAGTGCGAAATGCCGGCCAGACTGGCCGATGCACCATTTTCTCGACACATGTGCGTTAGTTAGTACGGACATGGACGTGGACGTGGACATGGACGTGCACGTGGATGTGGACGTGGACATGGACGTGGACATGGACGTGGACGTGGACGTGGACGTGGACATGGACGTGGACGTGGACGTGGACGTGGACGTGGACGTGGTCGTGGACGTGGACGTGGACGTGGACGTGGACGTGGTCGTGGACGTGGACGTGGACGTGGACGTGGACGTGGACGTGGACGTGGACGTGGACGTGGTCGTGGACGTGGACGTGGACGTGGACGTGGACGTGGTCGTGGACGTGGACCTGGACGTGGACATGGACATGGACATGGACGTGGACGTGGACATGGACGTGGACGTGGAGATGGACGTGGACGTGGACGTGGACGTGGACGGTCGTGGACGTGGACGTGGACGGTCGTGGACGTGGACGTGGACGTGGACGTGGACATGGACGTGGACGTGGACATGGACGTGGACATTGACATGGACGTGGACATTGACATGGACGTGGTTGTGGACGTGGACGTGGACGTGGACGTAGACGGTCGTGGACGTGGTCGTGGACGTGGACGTGGACGTTAACATGGACGTGGACGTGGACGTGGACCTGGACGTGGACGTGGAGGACTTGGACGTGGACGTGGACGTGACATGGACGTGGAGGACTTGGACGTGGACGTGGACGTGGACATGGACGTGGACGGTAAAGGACGTGGACGTGGACGTGGACATGGACGTGGACGTGGACATGGACTTGGACGTGGACGTGGACGTGGACCTGGACGTGGACGTGGACGTGGACGTGGACGTGGACGTGGACATGGACGTGGTCGTGGACGTTGACGTGGACGTGGACGTGGTCATGGACCTCGACGTGGACATGGACGTGGACGTGGACGTGGACATGGACGTGGACATGGACCTGGACATGGACGTGGACATGGACGTGGACATGGACGTGGACATGGACGTGGACATGGACGTGGACCTGGACGTGGACGAGGACGTGGACATGGACGTGGACGTGGACGTGGACATGGACGTGGACGTGGCCGAGGACATGGACATGGACATGGACGTGGACGTGGACATGGATGTGGACGTGGAGATGGACGTGGACGTCGACGTGGACGTGGATGTGGACGGTCGTGGATGGTCGTGGACGTGGACGTGGACGTGGACGCGGACGTGGACATGGACGTGGACATGGACGTGGACGTGGACATGGACGTGGACATGGACGTGGACGTGGACGTGGACGTGGACGTGGACATGGACGTGGACGTGGACGTGGACGTGGACGTGGACGTGGACATGGACGTGGACGTGGACGTGGACTTCGACGTGGACTTCGACGTGGACGTGGACGTGGACGTGGACATTGACGTGGACGTGGACGTGGACATGGAAGTGGACGTGGACGTGGACGTGGATGTGGACGTGGACGTGGACATGGACGTGGACGTGGACATGGACGTGGACGTGGACGTGGACGTGGACGTGGACGTTGTCGTGGACGTGGACGTGGACGTGGACGTGGACGTGGACGTGGTCGTGGACGTGGACGTGGACGTGGACGTGGACATGGACGTGGACATGGACGTGGAGGACTTGGACGTGGAGGACTTGGACGTGGACATGGACGTGGACGTGGACGTGGACGTGGACATGGACATGGACATGGATGTGGACGTGGACGTGGACGTGGACGTGGACGTGGACATGGACGTGGACGTGGACATGGACGTGGACGTGGACGTGGACATAGATGTGGACGTGGACATGGACGTGGACGTGGACGTGGACGTGGACGTGGACATGGACGTGGAGGTGAACGTGGAGGACTTGGACGTGGACATGGACGTGGACATGGATGTGGACGTGGACATGGACATGGACATGGACATGGGTGATGTCAGTGAGGTGTTGATCGACTGGATCCGCGCAGCTCGTCTCCAGCTCAGGGGGGGCTTCGGCTCGGACTTTCCTGTTCTACGGCTGCACTCTGACCGAGGTGGAGAGTTCTCCTCTGGCCTTCTGCAAGCCTAATGTCGTGCGCGAGGCATCCGCTAGACCTTTACGCTTCCGGACTCTCCACAGCAAAATGGGATTGCTGAGCGCCGCATTGGCATGGTCATGGACGTCGCTCGTACGTCCATGATGCATGCGGCTGTCCCCCATTTTCTGTGGCCGTTTGCGGTTCGGTACGCGGCGCATCAGATCAACCTTCACCCCAGGGTCTCTCGGCCGGAGACCTCCCCAGCTCTGCTGTGGACGGGGGAGGTCGGCGATGCGTCTGCGTTCCGTGTCTGGGGATCCCGGGCGTTTGTCCGCGACTTGTCTACGGACAAGCTGTCCCCTCGTGCTGCTCCCTGTGTCTACCTAGGCTTCCCCCCTGACGCCCTAGGGTGGCAGTTCTACCACCCCTCTTCTCGTCGTGTTCTGTCCTCCCAGGACGTCACGTTCGACGAGTCCGTCCCCTTCTACCGCCTCTTCCCCTACCGCACTCCTTCCCTCCCCCCACCACCGCACTTCCTTGTGCCAGGTCCCTCCCCGGTAGACCCCCTTTCCCCTGAGGGTCCTGCCCCTTCAAGTGTGTCCCAGGTAGACGCAGTAGAGCCGGTCGAGGTTGTTGGTGACTCTGGTACTGCTGCGGGTGCTGCGCCTGGGGGTGCTGACTCTGGGGGTGCTGCGCGCGTGGGTGCTGAGTCTGGAGGTGCTGAGCCTGGGGGTGCTGCGACTGGGGGTGTGAGCCTGGGCGTGCTCCGTCGGAAGCTGCCGAGCCAGGGGGTGCTGCGTCTGGAGCTGCTGAGCCTGGAGTTACGGAGCCTGCGGCCACTGGACCTCCCCTTGTGGCGTCTGGCGGTGCGGGGCCAGGAGGTTCTCCGGGTGCTTCGTCTCGGCGGGAGCCACTCGCTCCACAGGAGCTGCGCGAGTGGTTTGCTCGCCGTTGGAGGCGTACTGCTGGAGCTGGAGCTTCTTCGGCCGCTGAGGGTACTAGTGCCGCCGGTCCCGGAGCTGCTGGGCCTTCGGGTCCGCCAAGAGTTGGAGCTGTTGAGGGTGCCGGTGCTAAGATTGCTGCTGTCGTTCCTGACGGTGGTCCAACTGCGGGTGCTGCTGGTGCTGCTGGAGGTCCTACAGCTGGAGGTGCTGTTGGCGCTGGTGCTGTCCCTGCTGTGTCTGGAGTTCCCGCGCGGCCTCGGCCGTACTTCGTTCCGCTCCTGCAGCAGGTTCTTGGTCTTTCTCCTCCTGTAGAGTGTCCACCGCCTGTCCAGTCCCAGTCACGGTTAGAGCCCGCCTCCCCACTTCCTGCTCCCTCTCCTTACACTGGTCCTACTGGAGGTCTTGCTGAGCGTCGTGAGCCTGCGTCTCGTCCCGTATTGCCTGTTCGTACTGCTCGCGCTAGTGGTCGCGGTTCGCGTCAGCGTCCTCCTCCTGTCCCTGACACGCACCGGATGTCTCTACGACCGTCCACTGCTCCTCTGCGTGCCCCTTTGCCTTCTCCTCCTGAGTCCTCTCTTCCTGCACTTGCCGACCCTGAGTCGGACTCTCTTCGTGCTGCCAGTCCTACTCTCACGCGTCTCCTTGCTACTGTCGTCACTGACCCCTCCTTTGAGTCTACTGCTGCGTCTGCTCTTGTTGCTGAGCTCGTCGACTTTGCTGCTCGCTGTCGTCTAGACTATGCTGCCAGTCTTGTTGCTGAGTCTGCGTCTGTCTGTCCTCCGTCCGTCAGGGGTGAGTGTGCTCTTGGCACGGACGTCCTTGAGGACAGGCAGGAGGAGTTCTAGTGTCTGGCTGCTGCTTCACCTCATCTCGCGTCCGTACTACTTGCCCCTGAGGGAGACCCGGATGCACTAGACATCCCGACTCCGCGCTCTTACGCGGAGGCCGTAGAGGGTCCCTACTCCTCTCAGTGGCAGGCAGCTATGGATGCAGAGATGGCTTCCTGGAAGTCCACAGGCACCTACGTTGACGCGGTTCCCCCTCCTGGGGCGAACATCGTCAGTGGCATGTGGATCTTCAGGGTGAAGCGGCCGCCGGGCTCTCCACCTGTCTTCAAGGCGCGGTACATGGCTCGTGGCTTCACTCAGCGGCAGAGAGTTGACTACTTTCAGACCTTCTCTCCCACCCCGAAGATGACCACTCTTCGGGTGCTGCTGCACATAGCCGCTCAGCGCGACTACGAGCTCCACTCTCTTGACTTCAGCACAGCTTTCTTGCAGGGTAGCCTACACGAGGAGATCTGGCTGCGCCGTCCACCTGGCTTCACTGGGACTTTCCCTCCTGGCACCCAGTGGAGCCTCCGACGGCCAGTCTACGGTCTCCGCCAAGCACCGCGTGAGTGGTACGACACACTAAGGACTACGCTTGCGGCTCTTGGGTTTGCTCCCTCTACTGCTGACCCGTCGTTGTTTCTGCGCACCGACACTTCTCTGCCGCCGTTCTACATCCTAGTGTACGTCGACGACTTGGTCTTTGCCACAGCTGACACTGCTGGACTCGCCTACGTGAAGTTCGAGCTGCAGAAGAGACACACGTGCACAGACCTGGGTGAACTGCGCAGCTACCTTGGCTTGCAGATCACTCGGGACAGAGCACGCCGCACCATTACCTTGACTTAGTCACACATGGTGCAGCAGGTCCTTCAGCGCTTCGGCTTCACGTACTCCTCGCCTCAGGCCACTCCTCTGTCTACTCGCCACTCGCTCTCAGCTCTGCCTTCGGATGAGTCCGTAGAGTCGAGTGCCGGTACCTCAAGCTTGTTGGCTGCCTCATGTACCTGATGACCTGCACACGACCTGACCTTGCATACCCTCTTAGCATTCTTGCACGCTATGTTGCTCCTGGGAGACACCGACCAGAGCACATGGCTGCAGCGAAGAGGGTGTTGCGCTACTTGTGCAGTACGTCGGGCATGGGGCTAGTGCTTGGAGGGCGCAGTCCAGTGGTCCTCTCTGGGCACGCAGACGCTTCTTGGGCTGACGACCAGGCTACGCAGCGGTCGTCACAGGGTTACACCTTCAGTCTTGGTTCTGGCTCTGTTTCGTGGCAGGCTACTCGCTCGTCGTCTGTTCTCGGCTCCAGTTGTGAGGCTGAGATCTACGCCGGGGCCATGGCTGCTCAGGAGCTTTGCTGGCTCACCTACCTGCTGACTGACCTTGGAGAGCCGCCTCATTCTCCTCCAGTGCTGTACGTAGACAACAAGGCCATGCTGGCCTTGTGTCGAGAGCAGCGCCTAGAGCACAGAACGAAGCACATTGCTCTCCGCTACTTTCTTGCTCGTGAGCTGCAGCAGCGTGGTCAGCTGCGACTTGCGTACGTGGCCTCTGAGGCCAACACTGCTGATGTGATCATCAGCGCTTCTGCACTCAGCTGGGTGTTGTGCCTGTCTTGCCTCACTTGCTCACCTCTTGATCTTGCTTGTACTCTTGCATATATATATATACCTACTCTTGCTTGTTTAGCCTTATATATATATATGTCTTCTCCTGCATGTGAACTGGCCTTGTGGCCTTGACCTTGTGCTCGGACTGTGTGGTGACTTTGTGATCCACCCTGAGCTTGCTTTGCTTTGCTTTGCTTGACTGGTCTTGTGACCCCTTGTTCTCCCCCACTTTGCCTATGGGGGTGTGTCAGAACATTATAGCTTATGCTTTTGTGTAGGCTGTTGTGAAGTATCCCATAGGGGGTACAACCCAATAAGGGTTAGTACTTGTACCCACTTCATTCATAGTTCATTCATTCTCGTTCTCATTTTCACAATCTGAGCGCTTCCGTTCTCCCTGGCATTTTCATTTTAAGTTCCGATACTGACCCACCTGGCAAATGCACCATTTTCCCTACGCATGTGCGTTAGATACCTTTCAAACCTTTGAGAAACAAGCGTTTCCGTTCTCCCTGGCCCCACTTGCACTATAAGTGCGAAATGCCGGCCAGACTGGCCGATGCACCATTTTCTCTACACATGTGCGTTAGTTACCTTTCAAACCCTTACGTTCACTAGATTAATATATTTCCTACCTTCTATTTGAGTGAGACCACTAGATTCCGTGTACTATGCGAGATCTGAGCGCTTCCGTTCTCCCTGGCATTTGCATTTTAAGTTCCCATACTGACCGACCTGGCCAATGCACCATTTTCTCTATACATGTGCGTTAGATACCTTTCAAACCTTTTTAGCTGACTAGATTTATATATTTCCCACCTTCTGATCGAGTGAGATTGCTAGATTCCCTCTACTTTTTGAGAAACGAGCGTTTCCGTTCTCCCTGGCCCCACTTGCACTATAAGTGCGAAATGCCGGCCAGACTGGCCAATGCACCATTTTCTCTACACATGTGTGTTAGTTACTTTCAAACCCTTACGTTCACTCGGTGAATACATTTCCTACTTTCTATTTGAGTGAGACCACTTGATTCCGTGTACTATGCGAGATCCGAGCGCTTCCGTTCTCTCAGGCATTTGCACTCTAAGTTCCCATACTGACCGACCTGGCCAATGCACCATTTTCCATATACATATCCATTAGATTCCTTTCGAACCTGATTAGCTCACTAGATTTATATATTTCACACCTTTTGATCAAGTGAGATCGCTAGATTCCCTTAACTTTCTGAGAAATGAGCGTTTCCGTTCTCGTTGGCCCTACTTGCACTTTAAGTGCGAAATGCCGGCCTGACTGGCCAATGCACCATTTTCTCTACACATGTGCGTTAGTTACCTTTCAAACCTTGACGTTCACTAGATGAATATATTTCCTACTTTCTATTTGAGTGAGACCACTTGATTCCGTGTACAATGCGAGATCTGAGCGCTTCCGTTCTCCCTGGCATTGGCATTTTAAGTTCCGATACTGACCGACCTGGCCAATGCACAATTTTCTCAATACATGTGATTAAATACCTTTCAAACCTTTTTAGCTGACTAGATTTATATATTTCCCACCTTCTGATCGAGTGAGACCGCTAGATTCCCTCTATTTTTTGAGAAACGAGCGTTTCCGTTCTCCCTGGCCCCACTTGCACTATAAGTGCGAAATGCCGGCCAGACTGGCCGATGCACCATTTTTTCTACACATGTACGTTAGTTACCTTTCAAACCCTTACATTTACTAGATGAATATATTTCCTACTTTCTATTTGAGTGAGACCACTTGATTCCGTGTACTATGCGAGATCTGAGCGCTTCCGTTCTCTCAGGCATTTGCACACTAAGTTCCCATACTGAGCGACCTGGCCAATGCACCATTTTCCATATACATATGCATTAGATTCCTTTCAAACCCTTACGTTCACCAGATGAATATATTTCCTACCTTCTATTTGAGTGAGACCACTAGATTCCGTGTACTATGCGAGATCTGAGCGCTTCCGTTCTCCCTCGCATTTGCATTTTAAGTTCCGATACTGACCGACATGGCCAATGCACTATTTTCCATATAAATGTGCATTAGATACCTTTTGAACCTTATAAGCTCACTAGATTTATATATTTCCCACCTTCTGATCAAGTGAGACCGCTAGATTCCCTTTACTTTTTGACAAATGAGCGTTTCTGTTCTCCCTGGCCCTACTTGCACTATAAGTGCGAAATGCCGGCCAGACTGGCCGATGCACC